AAAAAGAAATGAATCAAGCTCTTAAGCTAAAAAAAAAAAAAAAGAAAATTATAATAGACCATCAGAAAATTGAAAAGTATCCTCTGTCCTTGGATAGAAAGAACCAATATTGTCAAGATGGCCATACTTCCAAAACTGATATATAGATTTAATGCAATCTCAGTCAAAATATCAATGGCATTCCTCACATAACTAGAGAAAACAATCCTAAAATTTATATGGAACCACAAGAGACCTAGAATGTCAAAAGCAAACCTAGGCAACAGGAATACAGCAGGAAAAATTATAATCCCGGATTTCAAGTTATATTACAATGCTACAATGATGAAAAACAGCACGGTATTGGCCAAGAAAACAAAACACAACAAACAAACACCACCACCACCCTAGGCTTATGGATTAATGGAATGGAACAGAATAGAAGATGCAGAAAGAACTCCAGGCACACTCAGCCACCTTATCTTTGACAACAGAGCCAAAAAGCACACACTGGAGGAAAGATAACCTCCTTAGTAATGGTACTGGGAAACCTGGCTTCCCACATGTAGAAGATGGAGTCTAGAACCCTATCGCTCTTTTCATTTTAGTATGAAACTAAAATAAAAATGGATCAAAGATCTAAATATTCAAACAGAAATACTTAATCTATTGGATAATAAAAATAGATAAAACTCCTCAAGACATCAGTGTAGGCAAAGTCTTTCTGAACAGAAGCCCCCGTCCACAAGAAATAACACCAAGAATCAACAAACCACATTAGATCAGATTAAAAGCCTTCCACGTATCAAAGGAAACAACCCGAAGAGTGAGGAGACAATCTACAGAACAGAAAAAAGTTGCCAGCTATTCCTCAGAGGACTAACATCTTGAACGTATAAAGAACTCAAAAAAATTCAGACCTCCTCCCAAATAAAAGACCCAATCAAAAACTGGATGGCTGACATGAATAAACTTCTCAGAAGAAGGCAAATGGCCAATACATGAAAAAATGTCCAATATACGTGGCCATCAGAGAAATGCAAATTGAAACATTGAGATTCCGCCTTGCATCAGAAAAAATGGCAATCGTTAAGAAATTAAATAATAAATGCAGGTATGGCTATGGATAAACGAAATCCTTCTACACAGTTGGTGGGAATGCAAAGTAGCACAACCGTTATGGATATCAGTGTGGAGATCCCTCCAAAAACCAAAACTAGAAGTTCCATTAGAACCAGCTGTTTAACTTCTAGGCATCTTTCTAAAGTGTTAAAGACAACGGCCTAGCGATGTGCACCAACAGATGAGAGGATCAAGAAAATGTGGTATGTACACAGAATGGAAAACTACTCTGCATAAAGAAGAGTAAACTTTAGTAATTTATAGGAAATTGGATGCACCTTGAGAGCATAATGTTAAATGAAATAAGTCAGACAAACATGCTTTAATACTGCATGGTTTCTCTTATTTAAAAAAAATCCCCAAATAAGAATAAAGAGCAAAATAGAGACAGACAGTAGGAAATGAGGAGTTCAGTCTTTTGCAGATGGGAAGGGGACCAGGAGGTGGAGGGAAGGGAAAGCTAGGAGAGGGAAGGGATGAAAAAAGAATGGAAATGTATTATGTGCATGTGTCAACTCCCCATGAAAAGTGTAACCATGATGTTCTGCAAGTATGTACCAATAAAAAAATGAAAAATTAAAAAATTACTACAAAGTTATAAAAACAAAACCAGCATGGTGCTGGAGTAAAAGCAGATACGAAGTCCAATAGAACAGAGGAGAGAAACCAAAAATAAATTCACATTTCTGCAATCAACTGCTTTTCAAGGAAGGTGCCAGGAACACACCATAGGAGGTGGACAGCCTCTTCAGTGGGAGGTCCTGGAGAAAATGGATATGCATGTGCGCGAAAGTGAAGAAACACACACGTCAGAATAGCTGGAAAAGGGAGTTTTAAACGTGCTTACCACAAAGAGATGCACGATGTCGGAGGTGATGTATGTGCTAGGGATCCTTAGACAACAGCACGCGTAAGGCCTTGGGTTCCAGCACAGCGCAGCAACGATGACCACCACCACAACAATAACCTGCAGATTATGCTGTAATGGTGAAGACAGGTCGCAATCAGTCCAAGCCCACAAGTCACGCAACATACAGAGAGAAGCCGGATGTACAGGGAGACAGTGGCATATCCGTTTGGGCATCCTCCCATCCTACCAAAGGAACCACTCCAGCTGCAGATGTGGGTAAAGGGATGAGCTGGGGTGGGACCTTTAATTGTTCTGTTTCTTTCATTTTCCTCTGAACCTAAAATTAATCTTTCCAAACAAAAATGTTAATAAAAAACCAGTAAGACTCATCGAGCCATCTAATCCCAGGATGGCCAGCCTCTGACAGCATCCAATCTGAAGTGGACCCCTTGGACCCTCTCCAGTGCCCTAACCAAAGCCCAGCCTGCTCACAGGCTCCCTCTAAACCCTGTTACCATGGCACCCACGGTCCCTGATGGTATGTGTTCTTCCTCTTTGCAGAGTCATGGCCAAACTTGCTCGACTGCAGGGAGTCCCACTGGTCCCGCCTGGAGGGCTGCGGTAGCAGCGGATAGCCACCTGCCCATGCCTCCTCACTCCAAGTCATGTGGACGTTGGGCGAGGTGCACGTGGACATCAAGGCGGGGCCTGGGGGGCACCCGTACACGGGGCTCCCTCCTCCCTGCCCCTCACAGCCACTGGGTAGCCCCTGTGCTGCTGCTGGTCAGGCCTCGGTGCCCGCTGTGGGAAGGTCCCCTGGGGCTCTCTGCTGCTCTCAGGAGCAGCCTGGGCGGGGGCCCTGCCCACCAGGGAGGCCAGGAGCACAGGGTCCTGGCGCATGTGTGGCAGACCAGAGCTGTGTGGCCTCTGTTGACTTTGCATGTGTGAAGCTGAGCTTCAGGAGCCCCTGCCGTGAGATCCATAGCCGGTGGTGGCTTGGGCAGGAGCAGCGGGGTCCCCCAGAAATATTCAGGACTTATGGGCCAACAGGTGGCTTTGGGTGGTCCTTGGGGTGCGAGGTTCCTGGGCATCTGGTCTCCCCCTTGGGCCGTGGGGGCGGATGTCAAAGGCCACACTCTGCCTGCAGCCCACCTTTCCAGATGTCCTCCTCCCGCCCACCAGTTACCAGCCGCTGGCCCCGGGTCGGGACCTCCAGCAGGCCCACCCCCGTCCCTGCCCCCATCGCCGTCCTCCCATCGCCGCCCCCCCCCCGTCCCCGCGCGCCGCCCCCGCAGCTCCATCCTGTCCTCGCCAGGGGCCCGCGGTGCGTCATCGGCATCGGCTCGAGGCCGGCGCGCACTTCATTAATTCAATAGCTCTGGGCCTGAAAAACACCGCTAAATTGCATCCCATTTTCCCCAAGCCCATTAGCAACCCGCGGCCGAGGGCTGCGCGACTCTGTCCCGGCCTCTTCCGCCCCCTCCTCTGCTCTCGCTCAGCACCAACTTTTCTTCCCAGACCCAAGGGAAAGGGCTTTGTCATGCGAACTGTGGGGAGGGACCTGCCCGCTGGCGTGGCGGATGCACCTCGCCGAGCCCGTGAAGGGCAGCTCTGAGCCAGCCTGCGGGGGGCTGAGCCGTCCTCAGAAAGGGGGCGGTGCGCCCTCTCTGCCCCAGGCCCTTAGCAAAGCTGCGGTCCCAGCTGCCGCCCCCTCCCTCCCGGACCCAAGGAAATGTCAGCGCGCGAGGAAAATGGCAAGGGGATGTTGACAGGGATGGCTGAGAGCAGCAGCTCCCCGCCCATCCAGGCTTCCTGGGGCCCAGTCCCGACGGCCCGCTGCGGAGAGGCGCAGGGTCTCTTCCCTGCCCCCAGCACCACCCGGTGTCCGATCCAGGCCGGGGACAGAGGAGGGAGGGCGGGAAGGCTGGTGGGGCCCCGGGATGGTGGAGCGCCAGCCATGCCCAGGCCCTGGCCCAAGAACCCCGGCCATCGGGTACAGACACGAGCTCAGGGGGCTGGTGCTTTTCCCAAGGTCACACAGCGAGTGTGGGGGGTCAGTGGCTTGGGTGTGTTGGCGCAGATGGCTTTGGCGGCCCCTGTGTCTGCTTTGCCCTAACCCCGCTGCTTAGTGCCCGGGTGGGCACTCACTGTTCTTGAGTGTACCTGACCCTCGGCTTCCTCAGACTGGACCTTTTCTCTGCCCACCATGAGGGGGCGCTGTCTCCGGTCCTCAGAGCAGGGCGGTGGCCCCCGCGCCTGGGGTCTGAGGGTGTGTGGCCCTTAGGATGACTAAATGTGCGTGCGTAAGAGCTGCCCGGTCCCCAAGGGCACAGGAGGGGAACACGGTTAATCAGCAGGAGAGGATGCTGCGGGCCTGTGGCTCTGTGGGCCCCACACAGAAACCCAGGGGTCAGTTGCTTTGGTGACAGCAGCCCAGGCAGAGCCAGCTTCAGAGAAAGCCAGCCCCTCTGCGACCCTGAGCCTTTCTTCTAGCCCAGCTCCTGACAGGGCACAAGGCCCCCACCGTGCCCGCATCCCACCTCACACAGGGTGCTGGCTTCGGCTGGAATGCCCCCTTGCTCAGGTGCATATCCCAGCGTGTGCACACTCAAATGTACCCAGATCACTGATGCACATGACATTCCTCAGCCCTTTGAAAGTCAAGGGTCACGCCCATTTCACAGCTGAGAAGACTGAGTCCCTGAGCAGGCCAGAGACTTTGCAGGGTTAACTGGGACCAGGATCCCAACGAGCTCTCTGTCCAGGTGTGTGGGGCCTTCAGGATCTGTGGGAGCCTAACCAGGCAGGGAGGGAGCCCCCTTCGTTGGGAAGCCACTCAGGCAGGAAATGCACCCATGCTTATGAGGAGAAGATGGTAAAGGGCCACTTTGCAGACAGAGAAACTAAGGCTCGGAGGCTAGACAGCCACAGTGCTAGCAAGTGACAGGCAGGATTTGAACTCAGAGCCTCAGACTCCGGAGCCCACCAAGCCCAGACCCCGTTTCATAGCTATGTGGGCCCTTCTTCCAAGAAGCCCACTGCCAGGTCTTGGTCTTTTCCAACTTGGGGACCCCTTTCAAGGGCAGAAGTGGTTTGCAAAAGATGGACTTTGTCCCCACCAAAGGCCCTCCGGGAGAAGGGGCTGGAGGTCTCCAGTCTAGGGGGGGCCGCCTGGGCTTTGGGGGCGTCTCCCAGGGCTGGTACCAGCCGAAGCCACATGCTGGCCACGGCCTCGCCTTGCCTCAGTTTCCTCCCCTGCCGTCAGCAGCCATCCGTCCCGAGGCCGCTGGAGGGCTTCCGAGGCAGGCTGAGGTGAAGGTGCCCCCCCGCCCTCCGTGCTTGCGCAGAGCGGGGGCGGCAGGCGGCGGCGCGGGCGGCGGGCCGAGGCTGGGGAAAACACTGAGTCATCGCGGGAGCGTGTCCCGCCGCCGGCCGCCCGGGAGCCGCGGCTGCAGGCTCCACAGGTAATTATGTAATTCGCCAGGCTCCCGCGCGGGGCTGTCTGAGTCAGCCCGGCTGTGTCGTGACCAAGCGGGGGCTCAAAGCGCCGAGGCGTGGGCACGCGCTGTACTCTGGGCCCTGGCCTCTGCCCCTCGGGGGCCGGCAGCCAGCCCCAGCCCCGGCGTGGGCAGACAGGGAGGGGGGCACTGGAGACCTGGGGTGGGCAGGAAGACGTGCCTCGGCTGCTGTCGCGGGGTGTGGGGCTCCAAGGGGTCGCGGGGAGCAGGAGTGAGCCCCGTCTTCAGGAGGTGCTCGAGGGCCGAGGCCAGAGACCTTCTAGGGGGCTCCCTCGGGAAGGCAGGACCCTGGAGCTGCACCCCCCGCTTAACGAGCCCTCTGAGCAGACACACACACACTAACACCGTGTGATACGCATTTATTATCCAAGCGGCTCTCAACGCTCAGGATTCAAAGGCAGGGGACGGGTGGGGGGAATTGCTTCCTTCCTCCCCGGGATCGGGGGTCACCTGCGCACTCCCTGTGGTCCGCTTCACCCAGTGTCCACCCGCCAGCCCCAGCCACCCGGGCTCTGGTCCCTCAGGGAGGGGTGCTGGTCCTGCGGAGCACCCCATCTTCCATCAGAGTGCTTGGTGCACTGCAGGGGTACGGGGAAGGGGTCTTCCTTCTTCCCAGGAACAGCTTGCAGTCATTCCAAGCAGGAGACTTCAGCGATGGGGCGGGGTCGGCAGAGCAGCCCTGGAAGGAAAGGGGCGCATCCGAGGAAGCCTCTGGAGCTCTCCTGGGTCTCTCCTGCCGTCCCACTCTTCTCTGCCTTGGTTTCCCCACTGCAGCTATCTCCCGGGACAAGAAATCTATGGAGATCTGGGGCTGCTGGGGAGTCGGGGCATCAGACAGCAGCCCCACCCCTCCGCCACCCCTTCCTCTCCCGAGCAGCCCCCTCCCACCAGCGTCCCCCTTGTACTTTTCCTGGCTGAAACCTGTCACAGACACTGCCACCCTGGGAAAAGAGATAAACAGACAGACGAAAAACAACCTCAACTGTGAAAAACTGTCCAAATCAGAATTCTCTTCCGGCCTGAGTTAATTACACTTTAAATTGGCATGTTTACTGAGGAGGGGGGCAGCGAGGTAGGAAGAGACAGCGGCGCCCCCTTCCCAGCTGTTTGTACAGTAAGGCTGGGCAGGCTGGCGGGCTCCCCCGGGCCTTGGCAGGCCCCGCCGCTCCCCTGCCAAGCAGAGAGCGGAGCAATGGCAGTGCTTTCGGAGCGTTAGGGGACACGCCACGGCGGATGGCAGACACGCGATGCCTTGCCCGGCCCGGGCTGTGGCATCTTCTCCTTGGTCCCTCCCCCCCCAGGGGCCCTGGAGGGCACAGCCTCTCCCTGGAGCAAAGCCGGGGGGTGTGGAGGGCTCCAGTTCATTCATCTGCCCAGCACTGAGTAGGCTGGCGCAAGAGCTGCCCGGGTGAGGTGGCAGGACCTCTGGCTTCCTAGACTAACCCTAATGGCAGGCTTGGGGCTCCCCTACACCCCACATGCCCCGGAAGAAATCCCATCCCTGTTCCCAGGGCACAGAAAGGCAACCTGGGGTCCTATAGTCACTTACTGGCCTCCTAGGGGACAGCTCACAGCCACACTCCTGCCGCAGTGGGGTTGCCTACAAGGGACCCCTCATGTAGCCCCCAACTCATGCTTGATCGGCTGTGAGCACAAGGGGGCGCCTCCCCGTCCACAGGAGCCCTTTGGAAAACAGTTGAACCTGACTGCAGAAGGAGCCGGCCAGGGTGCAGCAGGGAGGGCTTCCTGGAGGGGGCAGACCAGGCACTGCCCTTCCCACGCCCTTCCCTGCCCCGCAGGCCCAGGGCCCAGCCCCTCCCGTCAGGCAGTGGGGCTGAGCACACAGGTAATGGGAGCGCTCCTCGGAGGATAATGGGAAAATGACGAATGAGCTCCCGTCAGCCCTGCTCCCCGCCCCGCGTCGTGCTCGCCCGTGACAAATGGCCCTGCGCCTCCGCGGGGTCTCTTCAGCATCCTCTGCTGTACAGCCTTGGCGGCGTTGGTGGAGATTTATGTCCGTCTTCCCTGGATTCTTCCGCGTCTCTCTGCCTCTTTACCCCCTCCAAGAGCATGGTTTTAATTTATTCATTCCTCAGACGTTCCCAGGGCCTCTGAGAGCTTCTTCCAGTGACAGGCACACGGGACTGAGTACACCCGGCATGTGAGCACCTACTCCGTGCCTGTGTCTGTAGGTGACCCTAGCAGATGCGCTGGCTGCACCTACTGTGCTCCAGCACCGCAGCTCCCAGAGGGCCCTGGCTGCACGGAGCCAACCGTGCCCGGCTGTAGAGCTTGCCCACCAGGCGTTGGCCCCACGGGCCTCTGTCTCCACAGCAGAGCCCTGTGGACCCACTGTCCTACCTGCCCAAGGCTGGGAATGGAGGGATGGACCTGAAGCTAGGGGCTCCCTGTGTCCTGGAGGACTCCGGAGGGCGGTGAGCTGAATGGGGCGCCCAGGACTGTGCACAGCAGGAGGGAGGGCCGTGCGTGGGGTCTGGGGTGCCCTCACGCGTTCACTTCCTGCCCACAGCCTCCTGAGCGCGCTCACATTGGAGGGAGCGAGCCAGTAATGGGGTCCAACAACACAGGTGGGCGTGGGCCTTTGGTACTCAGACCCGGGGCCCTGGGCTTCCGACAGGGCAAGCCGCCCTGGCCTGGGTCAGACACAAACACAAGCACCCACTTCATGGGTGGTGCCACCAATTTGGAGAGACATTGAGCGGGTACAGAGAAAACCTCAGGAGAATTCCGGAGCCCAGACTCGGGGGAGCGCAAGCCTGCCTCACCTTGGGAGAGAATCAGGAGGCCAGTTCCAGGAGGCTGCCTTCTTCTGGGACAAGGAGCCATTCCCAGACCCGGGCTCCAGGCCCGCGAGCAGGGACAGAGCAGCCTGGGGCCAGCTGCACCCTATGGCCTCCCCTTGATGGTCGTTTGGCGGAGTGGGACCCTGTGGGAGTGGCTCAGCTTCTCCGTGCTTTGTGTCTGTAACCAGAACCTTCACCCGTCTCCTCAGCGTGGGGGCCCAGGACGAGGCAAACACCTGTTAGGACAGCTCACTGCGTTTCTCCTGCTCTTCCCTTACTGGTTCAAGGTCCTGGTCACGTCCAGGGGACACGGTGGGGGCACACCCAGGCCTTGCACAAGATGGGCACCCAGGAGGGGGGTGCGCCCCTGAACCTGGGCCATCGGCTGGATTTACACTCAGCCTGGGAGATGGGCCAAGACACAGACTTTCCTCCTGTGTGCCCTGGGGACAGACCTTTCCATCTGGCTGTGGGACCAGAAAAGCCTTTTGTTTGTTTTCTCTTCTCTTCAAACAATAGATAAATCAGTCATTTTGCTTTTAATGAAATTCCGTACCAAGTGGCATAAGGTCACCTCTTTGGGTCTAAAACTGCGTTGGGAACATGCAGACTGCTGATTGCCTGGTACCCCTGGCTGACATTTTGCCTCATGCATAATCCCCTGGAGGGAGATGAGGTACCCGGCGCTCTCCCAGCCAGCAGCCCAGGAGGCTTGGCGCAGCCGTGCCCTCGGTCCCTGTGGAGTACCGCCGGTGACATCGGAGCAATTAGGTGCGGCTAGCGTAGGTCTCCGCGCGCACACGTGTAATGTATTCCGAGGACGTGTCAGTGCATTAGCGGCAATTTTCATCTCCAAACGTTGCCATTTATGCAGCTCCATGCATAATCTATTAGCCCTGACACCGGGCTCTGGCCCACTGCAGACGGGGCTCCCCAGAGCATCCCGGGTTCTGCTGCAGGGGCGCGGGGTCGCAGGGGGCACGCTCCACGGGCGTCGCCAGGGGAGTGTGGAGACCTCGGCTGGCAAAGTGGAGAAAAGATCCCAGACCTCCTTGACCTGTCGCTGCTGCTGCTGCAGACCTCAGGCTCTCGGTGTCACCCTGGAAGGGCCAAGAAACCAAACAGCTTTTAACAAATGTGAAGATTTCTGAAAACCAATTACCATATTCATGTCTTCAGTCACCACATCCTAGAGAGTTCCTGCTTCATGCCCCTGGCTTTCCTGGGGATTAACCTAGTGTGGTCTGTGCCCTCGGGGACTCTATTAGTCAATCAACAAATACTCACTGTTCTGCTACTATGGGCCTGGCCTAAAGTCCCAGGACTGGGAGCACAGCAAAGGCTAAGACAGAAAAATGTCCCTGCCCTGAGAAATGGTACAGATCGGAGGGGAGGAGGCAGGAGCAAGGAGATGTTAACATGGCAACTTTGAGAGCAGGGAGCTAGGACAGAAACGGTAACAGAGTGACTGACAGGCTGAGGCAGGGCTGCTTTGTCTAGGTGCTCAGGGGTGGCCTTGTGGCTTGAAGGGCATTCTGTCCCCTTGGGGATCGGGAACCTCTGAGACAGGGATATGCAGGACGCGAGGTGGAGGAGGAGCCAAGGAGAGGCGGGCCCCGGGGCAGGGAGCACAGGGACGGGCCACACAGGCTTTGAGCAGCTGCCCCTGCAGCAGGAGGAAGACAGCCCAACAGAGACCCAGGCAGGGCCTGTCGGGCAGTCTGCGCCAGAGTGGGGCCCCTCGCCACGGCTGCAGGGCCGTTGGAGGAGCAGGTGGGGAGCAGCAGGAGGTGGCCTTCGGGGCTGGGGCTGGGGAGCGGGCCGCGGGTGCAAAGAGGAGCCCAGTGGAGCCTGCCAGGGTGAGAACGGGGCCTCCCGCCATGTGGATGATGGGAGCCCAGCGCCCGAAGCATCTCCAGGGCCTGGGAGGTGGTAAATACCAAGCAGGTGCAGCTCGTGGCGTGGAGGGCCTCTTGACCTGTGCCCTTCCCACCCCTGGGCAGCAGCCGCCACTTACTGGAGTCCCAGCACTTCCAGGCTTCTATGGTCATCTTGCCAAGGTCTGGACGGAGGCGGGGTACACACGCGCGAAGGGCACCGAGGGTCCGGACTGGGTCCAGGCCCGGGTCCCTGTCTGCGAGGAGCAGGGATGGAGGAGTGGTACCATGCCTCTGAGACGAGGGCTGCTCCCAACCCTTTACGGTAGACCAGGTGACAGGTGCCACATAAGATCCACAGGGTCAGCCGGCACAGGACGGACGGCCTTGTCGCTGCCTGGCACGGGCACTGAGAAGAGAGGTCGAGCGAGGTGGGATTCGATGCCGGAAAGAGGTTGACTGTATAATATTCATCATATAGAAAGTGAACACGTCGCAGGCAACCTGTTTCAGATACCACCGAGCAGTGCCGGCTCCGGACAAAGGCTTCTTCCTCCAGGACGGCCTCCAGTTTGTTCAGCCCGCCTCCCCGGCAGATGGGACGCTGTGAGGCGGGCAGACACTGGCCGCAGCCATGCACACGGGCCACCCGCGCCACCGGTCCGCCCTCCCTGACGCCAGCAGCGCAGGCAGCATGCAGGCGGGATGGGGCCCCGAGGAGAGCTCGACCGTGTATTGTGCGGCACGGTGGATGCAAACGTGCCACGGGCGACCTGTCCTCAGGTGCCACGGGGAACACATGCGCAGCGCAGGACCGAGGCTCTGCTGAGGGTCTCCAGGGTAGGACGTGGCATGTGGTCAGCCTTGGGGAGCCGCTGGAGAAGGACAGGCTGCAGGAGTCCTCTGCCTCCGTGGCACTAAGTATGGAACATGGAGCACGTTGGTCATCACGCAGGAGGCCAAAGCTTCCCAGCCAGCCTCCCCCACCCCCCATGCAAAACCCCAGCCTCTGCCCAGAGCTCTGGAGCTGAGGGTGGTGGGGAGGGCAAGGAAGAGCACGCAGAGGCCGAGCGTCACGTACCCGGCGCCCAGCGCACACTGCTGCGGGGAAGGCGGCACTGAGAATAGGCCATCTGTGTTATATTCGTCATTTATAAAGCGAACTCATCACAGACAACCTCTCCTCAGGTACCCAGGCCGCCGCAAGGACCGCATCGCCATCTCCGCGGTGCTGGGGCCACCTTCCGGAGCTGTCCTGAGGACGGATTGGATGCAAAGGTGAGAGAGACCAGGCACGGGCAGCGCACACCCCACCCAGCCCAGAACACCCAGGCCTGCATCTCAGTCCCCGCAGAGGAAGTGACCCCACAGCCCCCTCCCGCCCAACCCGCAGCGCGCTACATCTCCAGGAGATCCTCCAAGGTGAGATTTGGTACTGAGAAAAGATCAACCATGTATTATTCGAAGTCAGGAATGCGAATATAACACAGTCGATCTCCCATCAAGTACCACAAAGGCGCGGAGCTGAGGCCCGCCGGCCGTGGCGGGCACAGACGGCTAGTGGACCAGGTGAAGTACATTAGGAACAATTACTTTCCAACTGGTCGACCATCCGTCCCATACCCCAGAGCAGAGCTGCTGGCGACATTCTTCCCTGAGGTGCCTGGCCTCCCGGTTGGCCTCCCTGGTGGAATTTGATACCGGAAAGGGGTTCACCGAGCAACATTCGTCGTCCAGATGCAAAGTTGCTCGGGTAACCTCTCTCCGAGTACCACGGAGAAGCTCAGATGCTCAGACTAAGGCAGATGCTTCAAGGTGGTCATGCTTCCAGACGAGTCTCCCCAAGGGCAGCGCAAACGCTGGGCATTCGGGGGCCTCAGTTTCACCGTCTGCGAGGACCTCCCTCCATGGCGCCAAGCACCCCATCACCTCCCTGAACGAACCCACCGTTCTGCCATTGTGTTTATCCCAAAGATGACCTTAGAGCCCCGCAAGGATCTGATATGGAAGAGGGCACCCACGCTCGGGCACTTTGCTCACACTCATCTCCCCGTTCCTAGCTCCAGGCAGAGGCGAGTGCAGGCCCTGCACATGTACACCGAGCCACCCTCCCAGAGAGGACGCCTTTTGCAAGGAGCTCACCCACGCCCCAACACCAGCGACCAACAACACGGCCTCCGTGCCCTCCCAACCCACCTCCTGCCCCACACTGTGGTCACCACCCCAAAACCTATCCGGGGCAACGGAGGATCTAACAATCACTACCACTTGGCCACTCGGTCAGCCCCATAAACAAAGCAAAGGAAACAGCAAAGTACAATGGGTGAGGGAAAGCAGAGGGGAAGAAGCAGATAATTAGAGAGGGCAGAGCAGCCCCGCCCAAGGCCAGAAACCCAACCACCCCGGAGTTGACGTCAAGTCCAGATGGGGCCTCGCACACTGAGGGTCCAGACCAGACGAGGGACGCCACAGCAGAGTCTGGATTCTGTGCCCACCACCCATTTTGTGAACTTTGGAGTGGGACCGACAGCAGAATCCTTTCCCTGACGTTGGCATGAGCTCGGAAAGCCCTCTGAGCCTCGCTAGGAGTGGAGCAAGAGACCAGCCGCACAAGTCTGTGACAGAGAGAGAGAACGTGTCACAGGCAGTGTCCTTCCGGGAGCGGCACACACTGACCTGCAGATCAGAGGCTCCTCCCGGAGCTGTGGTCTCCTGGAAGTGGTCCTGAGAACGGCTTGGGCAGCAATAGCCAGTGCATGGGACAGCATACATCACCAGCATTCTTGAGCAGTCCAGGAACACCCACGTGCCTGCCCGGAGAAGACTCCGGCCGCTGGCCACCTCCAGAGGGGAGCATGGCTGTCGGAAGTCTTCCAGGGCAGGGGTGATCTGCAAAGAGACCCACCATGCAGTGCTGGTCATAAACAAAGTATGGCAGCAACGGACACCTCCTCCCTGTGCTGGGCAATGAGCCCGACCCAGAAACATTGCCTCCAGCCCAACTTCCAAGAAAGCCTCAGCTTCCACAGCCAAGTGACACTCAGCACTGGGAAGGTCAAGCCCAGGGAGGGAAGGATGCTCCCTGCTTCCTGCAGATGTGGCAGCAGCATGTGAGGCAGTTGCTCTCCAGAAAGGTGGCTGCCCACTGTATCATACCCAGCACACCCCCTGTGCCGGAGGAAGGTCAGGAGGGATGAGGCCAGGCGATACACAGGACTGTCGGGGCAACACATGCCCAACTCTTGTACCAACACATGCCCACATCCCCCAGGGCACAGCTGGCCAGTGTGTCCCGAATCAGCACACCTGTCCAGAAAGTTCCCTGGGAAGTTTGGGACAGAAAGAAAAAGGTCAGCTGTGACAAGGACACCGTATTCTGACAGTAGATGCCTACTGACCCCACTGTCCACTTCAAAGACACAATGAATTTCACCGTCAGAGTGGGGACTGTACAGCTCTGATTTCCATAAGAACAAGTTTTTCAGGGTGAATTCGATTACACTAATCCAATTCCCTGTTTAGCTTCCTTGACTGCACTGTCGGGCTGTTTTCATTTCTTTTATTTCCCTTGTTATTTTGCCCAAATCATTTTCATTAGGATTAATTCTTTTCCATTTAAAAATCTGAATGAAGGTTTGATGCCTCCATGAGCTTTCGTCTACATCAAATATTATTGTTTATAGCAGCCACCACTGTGCACTTCCTCTGTGGCCGCCATGGCTACGGTGTTCCATTTCCCCTGGTCAAAAGTTGCAGCTGAAATGGTGCCAAGAAAATTGGATTCTTCTGCCAATTTGTAGTCAATTGAACGTGTTTTCCTCAGAGCTGTGTCAGTGGATTTTACTGTTACTGGTGTTGATTATTTTTTGTCTCTGTTATTTAATATACATGGAATGAAATGCTGATCACCTCTATTCATTTCGTAACCCATCTGAATATTGAGAACCATGCTTGGTGAGGGGCTGGAAGGACAGACAAGGTGGGATACAAAAGGGGGCAGGGAGAACGGAAGAGCACTTGTGGGAACAGGACATGGAGAGATGGGGAGAGGGGCGGTCACAGCACGGCAGTGACGCTGTCCGGTGCGAGCCCTCATTTATCCACCCTCCATGGAGTAGCAGTGGGGGGGCCATGACGGCGATGTGAGGAGAAAGGGCCCACGGGAAGAAGGGCAGCTGAGCCGGCACCCGCGCCATCTTCCAAGGTCCCCTGGTGACCCTCATTAGGAATCGAGCTTGTTTTCTCCATAACTTCCATTCCGGTCCACCAGAGAGCTGTCGACGCCCGTGTCTACACCATTCCCTCTTCTCACGGGAGAGGTGAAGACCCTGAGCTTGCCGCTGGGTTCCGGAGGCCATCCCAAGCAGGATTTGATACTCAAACAAAAGTTGCCTTTGTGTGATTCAACATAAATAAAGCGAATTCACCAAGGGCAACCTCTGCTCAGGGATCAAACATCAGCACGGGCAAGAACACCAACAGGGCGCCTCTTCACCAAGCTGGCAATGCCTGGGGGTCTAGCTGTGGGCACGGGCTCGCTCTCTCTGGACAGGCTGGCACTACCTCCAGAGAGCCCGAGGTGTGGTTGGAACACGGCTCATTGTGGACCGGCTTCCAGGGCGCCGGAAATGGTCTGGAAGCTGGCTTCCGGTGTGGGTGCAGCCATGCCAGGCCAGTATCTGCTCACTTACCCTGTGAACATCGAAGCCCTGCCCCAAGGCCGGCCTCTCCTCTGGAAGTCCCTGAAGGACGCTTCCACAGGAAAAGAAGTTGCCATTTTGCTCTGTGACCAAGGCCCGGCCCATCCAGCCTACTGGGGTCTCAGGAGGGCTGACCTAACCAAAGACTCCTCCACAGGGCGACATCCTTGGACGGCAAGGCTGCAGCGACCAACCAGCATCCACTCTGGCTTCCAGGAGGCCTCGAAGAGGATTCAATAAAGAACACCACTTGGGAGGCTGAGGCAGTAGGATCACCACGAGTTTGAGGCCAGCCTGGGATACACAGTGAGTTCAAGGCCCGCGAGACACAGAGACCCTGCCTCAAAAACACAAACTGAGAGAAAATACAAAAAAGAACACATGTGGAACTGCCACCTACTCATTCATTCCACATCACATCTACCACGTGCACCGAAGGACACAGTATCCAGGCAAAGGACAGGGATTCCGCCCTCAGGGAGCCGGCAATGTGCATCAGAATAACAACAGCCAACATCATTCCCTTTCTTCTGCGCCTGATGCTGGGTGTATATTGAGTTTCCATCCCAACACCATAAGTAGGTGTGAGCCCTGCTCTAGAGGCGAAGAGTCAGGGGAACGGGAAGTAACAGGGTAAGTGACCTCTTTCGAAGTAGTCTCACTAGCAAACACCAGACAGAAAGAAAGGCTCTAAGTGATTCTTCTCTTGCACCAGGACAGTCGTGTCCTCCTGGAGATCACGCTAAGGAGCTGGAGGAAGTGTAACATAAAGAGGTGTGAGTATGTGCTTGGCATCCAGCTGGGCACAGCCAAAGCAAAGGCACAGTGCTGCCCCTTTCTCCAAAGCGTGCCTCAGTCCACGACGGTTTCGCACCTAGCAAGAGTCGCTCGGTGCACCTTGCTCGCTGAGGAGTCTTAGAGGAAGAGGGGTAACCATGAGAGCTTCACTCGAGACATCAGCCTCAGGGAAGCCTTTCTCTTCTGACCACTGGTGACGTCAGTCAGACATGAGCCCATGACGTACGGAGACGACCGATGACCCATTTCCTTACCCCGTACAGGTGCCGGCTGCAGCTTCCCCTTGTGAAGTTTTGTCGAGAAGATTTTAGTACCGAAAGGAGATTGGCCATGTAATACTCATCATAAATAAAATGAACACATCATGGACAACCTCCATTCGAGTACCTGACTAGCGTGCTCGTTTCGCTGCATCCCAGGTGCCAGGCCTAAGGATGGGATACCGAGTGTCAGGAAGCTGGCGACACACACTGCCCGGAGGACACATGCTCAGCAGCACTCCAGGAAGCCACTCAGACAGGACAACAAAGAGGTTTGCTGAGCCCATCTGTGATGCATCCCAAGGGGGCAGAGAGACCTCTGGACAGACACTTGGTGACTCCCGAGGGAAGTCCCGCCTCTTCAAGAAGGCCCATTGATGACCCAGTAGCAAGCCTGGAGGGTGATGCCACTTGAGGCACTGAGCGCCGGAGTGGTCCACCAGGGCAGGGGTGTACATTCTTGGCTTCACTGTCCACTGACATGTGTGGACGTCAACTCTGGTTTCTGGACTTGGCAACAACCCAAGGAGCTTTAATGGCCAGATTTGATACTTAAGAAAAAGGCCAGCTATGAATGATTTATGAAAAAAGAAGGCAGGTGCACCATCCCCACGTTCGGCCCAGTAGTGCTGGTAAGAAAAGCCCCATTTCATCCTGGATGCTTGTACCACTTCTAGGAATGTTCTCAAGCGTGGGCCACACGAGGGCTAGGACCAGAGCACAGAGGCTCAGGAAAGCACACTCCCTGCTGGTCAGCTGTGGTCATCAGCCTCTTTGCTTACCCTGGAGAGGAGCTGCCACCAAGGTCCCGCCCTGAAGTGAGACTCCACTCCAGGAGTCCTCCAAGGCGGGATTTGATACTGGAAAATAGGTCAACCGCGTATGATTCG